CACCCCAGCCCACTCTAGCCTACTCCAACCCACCCCAGCCCACCGCAAACCCACCCCAGCCCACTCTCGCCTACTCAACCCACCCGCAGCCCGCCTTTAGCCTACTCCAACCCACCCCAGCCCACCTCTTAGCCTACTTCCAAACCCCACCAAGCCCACTCTAGCCTACTCAACCCACCCCAGCCCACCTAGCCTACTCCAACCCACCCAGCCCACTCTAGCCTACTCAACCCACCCCAGCCCACTCTACCTCTAGCCTACAACCCACCCCCGCCACTCTAGCCTACTCCAACCCACCCCAGCCCACTCTAGCCTACTCCAACCACCCCAGCCCACTCTAGCCTACTCCAACCCACCCCAGCCCACTCTAGCCTACTCCAACCCACCCAGCCCACTCCTAGCCTACTCAACCCACCCCAGCCACCTGCCAAACCCACCCCAAGCCCACTCTAGCCTACTCCAACCCACCCCAGCCCACTCTAGCCTACTCCAACCCACCCCAGCCCACTCTAGCCTACTCCAACCCACCCCAGCCCACCTTAGCCTACTCCACCCACCCCAGCCCACTCTAGCCTACTCCAACCCACCCCAGCCCACTCTAGCCTACTCCAACCCACCCCAGCCCACTCTAGCCTACTCCAACCCACCCCAGCCCCTCTAGCCTACTCCAACCCACCCCAGCCCACTCTAGCCTACTCCAACCCACCCCAGCCCACTCTAGCCTACTCCAACCCACCCCAGCCCCTCTAGCCTACTCCAACCCACCCCAGCCCACTCTAGCCTACTCCAACCCCCCAGCCCACTCTAGCCTACTCCCAACCCACCCACCCCAGCCCACTCTAGCCTACTCCAACCCACCCCAGCCCACCTTAGCCTACTCCAACCCACCCCAGCCCACTCTAGCCCTACTCCACCCACCCCAGCCCACTCTAAGCCTACTCCAACCCACCCCAGCCCACTCTAGCTACTCCAACCCACCCAGCCCACTCTTAGCCTACTCCAACCCACGCCCCAGCCCAACTCTAGCCTACTCCAACCCACCCCAGCCCACTGCTAGCCTACGTCCAACCCACCCCAGCACCAACCCAGCCCACTCTAGCCTACTCCAACCCACCCAGCCCACTTAGCCTACTCCAACCCACCCCAGCCCACTCTAGCCTACTCCAAGCCCACCCCAGCCCACTCTAGCCTACTCCAACCCACCCCAGCCCACTCTAGGCCTTACTCCACCCCACCCCAGCCCACTCTAGCCACTCCAACCCACCCCAGCCCACCTTAGCCTACTCCAACCCACCCCAGCCCACTCTAGCCTACTCCAACCCACCCCAGCCCACTCTAGCCTACTCCAACCCACACCCAGCCCCACTCTAGCTACTCCAACCCACCCAGCCCACTCTAGCCTACTCCACCACACCAGCCCCACCTAGCCTACTAGACCCACCCCAGCCCACTCTAGCCAACCCACCACCCGGCCCACCTCTAAGCCTACTCCACCACCCCAGCCCATCTCCTAGCTAACTCCAACCCACCCCCAGCCCACTCTAGCCTACTCCAACCCCGCACCCCAGCCCCCACTCTTAGCCTACTCCAAAACCCACCCCAGCCTACACTCTAGCCTACTCCAACCCACCCACCCCTCTAGCTACTCAACCCACTCTAGCCTAACTCCCAACCCCACCCCAGCTCTAGCATCTCCAACCCACCCCAGCCCACTCTAGCCTACTCCAACCCCACTAGGCCTACTCCAGCCACTCTAGCCTACTCCAACCCACCCCTACAGCCCACCTCCTAGCCTACTCCACCCCACAGCCCACTCTAGCCTACTCCAACCCACCCCAGCCTAGCCTCCCCAACCCACCCAGCCCACTCAGCCCCACTCCCTCTAGCACTCCAACCCACCCAGCCCTCTAGCCTACTCCAACCCACCCCAGCCCCACTCTAGCCTACTCTCAACCCACCCCCAGCCCACTCTAGCCTACTCCCAACCCACCCCGCCCACCTCTAGCCCTAACTCCAACCCACCCCAGCCCACTCTAGTACTCAACCCACACCCAGCTCTACAACCCACCCAGCCCACTCAGCCTACCTCCAACCCACCCCCCACTCTAGCCTACTCCAACCACCCCAGCCCTCTAGCCTTACTCCAACGCCACCCCCAGCCCACTCTAGGCCTACTCCAACCCACCCCGCCCACTAGCCTACTCCAACCCACCCCAGCCCACTCTAAAGCCTACTCCAACCCACCCCAAGCCCACTCTAGCCTACTCCAACCCCACCCCAGCCCACTCTAGCCTACTCCAACCCACCCCAGCCCACTCTAGCCTACTCCAACCCACCCAGCCCACTCTAGCCTACTCCAACCCACCCCAGCCCACTCTAGCCTACTCCAACCCACCCCAGCCCAACTACAACCCACCCAGCCCCACTCTAGCCTACTCCAAACCCACCCCAGCCCACTCTAGCCTACTCCAACCCACCCCCAGCCCACTCTAGCCTACTT